GGTTTTCTAATTGATAATTTCTTCAAGTATTAATCATTTCTATCTATTCCCAGGTTCTTCTGAATTCAAATCTTATTCTACAACCGAAACTAATTGAAATGGCGGGAAAACAAGTTACTGTTTTGCTATATTGGGATTGACAAATGAATTATGGCTCGGAGAGTTTATCATACAATTGTCCTCCCAAAGGTGGTATTGTTATCAATAGTGGTACACAACTGCCGGAGTTATTGAGTAAAATTTACACTGTAATGAGGTTGGACATGGTGCATAACAAGTTGAAGTTGACATGTAGATATCCTTTTATAGTTGGAACAGGACCAGGACCAAACATAAATACACATGTCGGTTTGAAAATTATCAACAATGAACTAGTGACCTCAATGGTTAATGTGGTACTTGATAACCCCAGCATTGCTAGTGTTGCTTTATACGTTGAGACAGAGGACATCAATGCTGGCATAGGTAGTAGTCAGACCGGAGGGTGCATAACCACAACTGTCATGTCTTACACCGAGTTGCTTAGGCAAGAGATGGGTCGATTTCCATTTCCAACTTCTGCTGTGATGGGTGAATGTTCAACTTTCGTTGGGATGCAAGTAATGGATGAGTTTGGGTAGTACTTTTACACCCAACAAAAAAGTGGAATCACGACATACGGTGGGAACTCAGCCAACAATTCACTGAGTCAAAATTTTGAAATAGGTGAGGGGGGAATTGAGTTGGGTGAACAAGATGTCTATCAACCAGTAATGTAACAATACCCAATTCGAGAATATGAAGAAATGTGTGCTAATGATTGCACAAATGTCTCAGATGACGACGATGAAGAAGAAGAGTATGAGGAAGTAATGATTGATGAGCCGGATGACAAAGATGATAATGGTGAAGCCTTTGAGGCTGCTCAGGTGGTGGAGATGCATAAGTCTTACTCTACCTCATTCACAACCACTTAATTTGGCCAGTATATTGAAGCAGATAGCTTTGTACCGTCAGTTGAACAGAATTTGTGGAATCCAGTGAAGATGGAGTTGGCAAAGGGCATGGTTTTTAAGGATAAAGCTTCATTGATTAGATCTGTTAAATGATATTCAATCAAGCTGAATCAGGATTTTATCATGGTCGAGACAAACACAACTGTGTGGGTTGTACAGTACATCATGTACATGCAGCCTAACTGCATGTGGAGACTGCGTGCTTGTTTTAGGAAAAAATTGAAAATATTTCAGATCATGAAATTTGATAAACCACATACCTGCTTCTACACTAGGATGAGTCGTGACCATCGACCGTTAGACTCTGACTTCATTTGTCATAATATACTGAGAATCGTGGGTGATACACCACAAACCAAAATGTCGACAATTTAGAAGAATATAAAAGAGAAGTTCAAGTTTGATATTTTCTATAAGAAAGCATGGATTGTGAGGAACAAAGCAATTGCTAAGATTTTCGGTGATTGAGACTCATCATATGACATGTTGCTAAAGTTTTTGGGTGCCATCAAGAAGAATAACCTTGACTCAATTGTTAAGTGGCGGTACAACTCTGAATCTCCTGAATTTAATTTTTTTTTACGAATATTTTGGGCATTCAAGGGTTTAAATATTATCGACATGTTGTCAGTATTGATGGGACATTTCTGCGTAAAAAGTACAAAGAAAAACTGTTAGTGGCGACTGCTTTTGATTTTAATAAGTAGTTGTTTCCCATTGCATTTGCTATTGTGGAAGAGGAGAATACGTAAAGTTGGATTTTTTTCCTATATTACCTTTGGCGGATTGTTCTTAGACATCAGGAAGGAAATTGTTTAATTTCTGAAAGGCACAAGGGGATCTTTGCGACTATGAATAAGGAAGATTCTAGATGGCATCTACCGCATGGTTATCATCGTTTTTTTCTTCGATATGTTCTTAGTAATTTTAATACAGAGTTTAAGGATGCACATTTGTACGATCTTATATGGAGGGCTGGAAAGGCAAGATAGGCTCGCAAGTTCGATAATTTAATGAACCAGATACGCAACGTCAAAGAGGAAGCCTATAAATACTTGAATGATATACCATTGGAGAAGTGAACATTAGCACACGATGGTGGACGACAGTATGACATCATGACAACCAACATTTCAAAGGTTTTCAATAGTGTTCTTCAAGGTGCTAGGTATTTGCCCATAACTGTTTATGTGCAGTCGATATTTTATCGGGTCACTAAGTATCATTTTGAACGTCAAGACCAATTAGCAAAATGAAAAGAAAATAGGATGGAGTTTCCTAAGCATGTTATGGAACGATTAAAACATGCACAACAAATGAGTCATGTCCATGACGTAAAACCATTTCATAGGCAGCGTGGTCTTGTTGAAGTGTCAACTGACGGTGGTCACAAGCAAGTTGTGTGTCTTGAAGATCGTTCGTGCACATGCGAAAAATGGGCAATTTACAGAATTCCTTACTCGCATTTGTTGGATGTATGCTCTTATCTTCAGTTGCATTTTCAGCCCTACATACATCCCATATACACTATCGACAATTTGGAGAAAATTTGGGCGCCTAAAATGTTTCCTCTGGAGGATGAGCATCACTGGGATGATCCCCCATGACCCAAATTAGTCCCTAATCGTAACCAACGTCGAGACTTGATTGGTCGGCCACGGACGATGTGCATACGGAATGAGATGGACTTGCTGCCAGAGGGTCGTAATCAGATACATTGTGGGCTATGCAGTGAACTAGGTCACAATCGTCGGAAGTGTACATTCATAAATACGCGGGCTCTAACATCCCTTAAGTAGATTGTATTTTCTTGTTTTGTAAGCTTCATATGTTGTTGTATGTTATAATCATTTGTGTATTGGACTTGTCGATGTGATTATGTTGTAGCCCCATTTTGGTACAATGTCTTGTATTTAAATGTTTGTTGTAATGATTTGTTTGATGGTTGATGGTGAATGTTGTTTTTTGTATATTCATATAGTTATTCATCATGGACATCGATGGACGGCGGTTATTACATCCTGGTCCACAGGACCACTCAGTTCTTGCGTTACAGGCTGATCTTCGATCTGAGGACATCTGGCAGGGTATAGATCTACCTCTGTTGCACTGTAGGTGTAGTGATCCCCCATGGCCCAAATTAGTCCCTAATTGTAACCAACGTCGAGACTTGATTGGTCGGCCACGGACGATGCGCATACAGAATGAGATGGACTTCCCACCAGAGGGTCGTAATCAAATACATTGTGGGCTATGTGGTGAACTGGGTCACAATCATCGGAAGTGTACATCCATAAATACGCGGGCTCCAGCATCCCTTCAGTAGATTGAATTTTCTTGTTTTGTAAGCTTCATATGTTGTTGTATGTTATAATCATTTGTGTATTGGACTTGTCGATGTGATTATGTTGTAGCCCCATTTTGGTACAATGTCTTGTATTTTAATGTTTGTTGTAATGATTTGTTTGATGGTTGATATTGAATGTTGTTTTTTGTATATTCATATAGTTATTCATCATGGACATCGATGGATGGCAGTTATTACATCCTGGTCCACAGGACCACTCAGTTCTTGCGTTACAGGCTGATCTTCGATCTGAGGACATCTGGCAGGGTATAGATCTACCTCTGTTGCACTGTAGGTGTAGTGATCCCCCATGGCCCAAATTAGTCCCTAATTGTAACCAACGTCGAGACTTGATTGGTCGGCCACGGACGATGCGCATACAGAATGAGATGGACTTCCCACCATAGGGTCGTAATCAAATACATTGTGGGCTATGTGGTGAACTGGGTCACAATCATCGGAAGTGTACATCCATAAATACGCGGGCTCCAGCATCCCTTCAGTAGATTGAATTTTCTTGTTTTGTAAGCTTCATATGTTGTTGTATGTTATAATCATTTGTGTATTGGACTTGTCGATGTGATTATGTTGTAGCCCCATTTTGGTACAATGTCTTGTATTTTAATGTTTGTTGTAATGATTTGTTTGATGGTTGATAGTGAATGTTGTTTTTTGTATATTCATATAGTTATTCATTATGGACATCGATGGACGACGGTTATTACATCCTGGTCCACAGGACCACTCCGTTCTTGCGTTACAGGCTGATCTTCGATCCGAGGACATCTGGCAGGGCATAGATCTACCTCTATTGCACTGCAGGCGTAGTGATCGCACCGCACGATAGTTACATGTCATAGATGAGCGTGTGCTCTGTCATTTGGTGACAGTTGGCTTTTATGGGGCGCACAAGATTGTGTCCAAGTAGTTGGACCATGCACTCATCATAGCGCTTGTTGAGAGATGACGTGTCGAGACGCATACTTTTCATCTTGTGGTGGGAGAGGCTACGATCACTCTCCAGGATGTTGTTGTTCTCATAGGCCTACTGATTTATGGTATGGCAGTGTCTGAGAGAGATAGTTGTCCGGCAGACACGACATGTCCAACATTATGCCAGCAGTTACTCGATTTTACACTGGCCGAGGGGACTATCGACAGGTCTTTTCTCAGGCTTTCTACATTGCAAGGGCATTTGGATGAAGGTGTCCCAGTAGATGCAGATGATGATTTTATTGCTTCTTATGCCAGAGCCTACATCATGCTCCTGATCGATTCATACCTCTTCTTGGACAAGTCTTCTAGCAAGGTCAAGTTGATGTATCTTCCTTTACTTGCCGATCTTCCATCAACTAGTCAGTACAGTTGGGGTAGCGCAGCATTGGCCTGGCTTTATCAGGAGATGTGCATCACCACTAGACGTGATGCTAAGAACATCGACAGATTGCTTGTTCTAGTACATGTATATGCAAACTTATGTTTCATGTTTGTTTAAATATATATTGTTTATTGTAAAGACAAATGTATGTGTTACACTACAATTTTTTTGATTTTTTTATAAAGTTTATGGGCATGGGAGTGTTTATTGCATATACGTCCTCAGCGATTACTCTCACGTGATCCTTTACATGATGTACATCCAGACGCCGACCCAACAGATGATGTACCACCTGCACCTGCACTGGTACATGATGCTGCTCCACATGTACCATCACTTGATGACCTACCACCAGGNTCCAGACGCCGACCCAACAGATGATGTACCACCTGCACCTGCACTGGTACATGATGCTGCTCCACATGTACCATCACTTGATGACCTACCACCAGGGCCTTGTGGGTGTAAGTAAGATGTTTTATTATTCATTAAGTATTTTATTGTACATCCAACTAATCTTATTTTTTGTTCTATGCAATTGGGATGTTGCATTTTTGGAGCAACACACGTCTACCTATGTCCTCAAATATTATAGAGATCAGTTGAATCAGATGCACGATGACCAGGTATACAAGCGAAACTACTAGATGTTGTTGGATGTGTTGTATGATTGGTAATTGTTGGTTGTTGTTGGATGTGTTATAGTTGGTTGTTGGTGATTTTTGTTGGTATGATTGGTAGTTGGATGTATTATGTAATATATTATGCAACAGGTGATTTTAAAAAAAAATTTGGTGTCATACATATAGGGGAAACTCTGCCAAAATTTTTATTTTTTGGGTACATCTAACAAAATTGGTTTTTTTTTATACTACAGATGATATGACAGTCATTCACTGTTGATGTGTTGGCCACTTTACCTGATTACTGCTTACGTAGGCGGGACTTATGGACTACCCGAGCCCCGCATATATGTTTTGATATGGTGGAGTGGCATTTTTCAGACCGTGTTATGCGACAGTTTGGATGAAGACAGCCCATACCAGCGCTATGTGATTGCAGTCATGAGCTACATGCCACAAATAGGCGTGGCAGACATGGTTATGATTGGATGATCGCACATCAGCGGTACATCAGGATGTGGGAATAGCGGCGGGATTCTATTGTTCATGGCAAGCCTACGCTCGACATGATGGATGCCACTGCTCCCTACATGGAGTGGTATCGGCGCATCACTAGGCTACTTATCGGACCACAGATGTTGTGCCCTAAAGTTGGTTTTCAGCCCGTTGGCAGTATCATGGAGCTAATGGTATATGTTGTTTACTTGGTATTTAAATAAATTGTGGTACATAAATTATTTGCTTTTGATTATAATCGTTATTTTTTTTTTGTTCTGCAGACACAAACACTTGCACAGGTTTACCACACAGCTCATGTCAGTGGGGAGCTTGATACGGGGAGATATCAGGCGGCCATCAGGCAGATGGAGGAGCTAAGCTACCGGTGTTTGTCAACTCTTTCTAAGCATGGACGACTCGTGCAGCCTCCGGGAACCAGTCAGCAACCAGTTGTTGCAGCCCCAGTTCCTGCACGATAGCGGGGAGTGCATATACCTCGACCTCCAGCTACACGCGCACATGAGCAGACCCCCCCACCAGCCGTGGATATTGCTATGACATCATCAGAGGCAGGCCCATCGGCTAGATATGTTTCCCAAACTGTTGCAGAGGCAGGCCTATCTACCCCATATGTCCCAACTTTTGATTTTGACATTCCTACACCAGTCGTTCACCATCAGTCTTCATCACCGCTTGATCGTCCTACTGTTACATCATGTGCGCCACCGCTGACCTCTCCCGGTGTTGATGCATCGGTGACTCCATTCACACCTACACTAGTGCCAGACGTTATGGGAGATACATCACTTCCACCTGTTGGCCATGTATTCCACGTATTGTTCCACCGATGCCCACACGACCTACTTCTTCTGTTCTATAAGATGATAGCTCCGATGATGCTGAGATTCCAGCTGTGGGAGTTACAAAGGACCCATCATTATCACACATAGGTCGAGGCAGAGGTTGGCATGGAGTCGATCGACATACACACCATACACATAATCCAGTAGATGGTGGAGTTATAGAAGATATACCACCTCCGCTTGATGGTCAGTGGCCCAAGCGACAGAAGAGACCACCGCCTTGTGGGACATAATCTTTTTTTTTACATTTGTTTGTATAAAATTTGTAAATATTATTGTTGTATATAAAATATGTTTGTGTTTATAGTTTCATGTAAGGTTATTTCATTACTACCTTTCAGATTATTTATTCAATACTCTAAAAACATGTTTGTTGAATAACATAACAAAAATTATTGAAATTTAGATGAACATTACAAATTGGAGTAGTGCACCATATTTCATAGAAACAAAATACATAAACATATTGCACATACAAGTACGACGACGAAAGTGTAAATATTACAACACAAGATTTCAAGGACACATCTTCATGGGTCTTTATCTTCGTCAGACAGGTAATGATCAGAAATACATCCAGCTTCACCACTCAATTGGTAACTTAAACTTGCTTATTGCATCCTCCCTTCTGCAGCACGGTCGCTTGTAATACGGCGCAGATTGTACCGATTACAACAGATTGTTATTCGATTGTTCTCAACTCGAATGCGAAACAATGCTCGCTCTAATTGTTGAGAAGTGTTGATAGGCATACCAATGACAACTTGTCAATGCCTTCTTATGTTGCAATAACGTAAATCTAAGCTTTGATTTTCTCTTTCTGTCAAGCGATATTGTCATTCCGCCATCATTGTGTTCGTAACTGTTAGTGAATACCGTAACTGAGGATTCATTGGGTAAAAGAACTCATCCTCTAAAGCCCAATGATAACCCAAAGTTTCAAACAGAGTTCTCGGACTAAAATTCATTGTTAAAGATAAATTTTGTACATTGAACATTTCACATTAGTTCATATTTATAGGCAATTTATTTATGTGAGCATGCGAATGACATTAGAACATTATATAGTCACAGTCACGGATTACACAATAATATCTAGTCACACTTTCTGACATTTAACCAGTATTTAGTAACATCAACCTAGTGTGTTGTCACAACGACTAATAATGATGCAATTGTCAGCTAGTGTAACTAGTTTTTATTTAGCAGCACTAGTGTGTTGTCACGGGTTTTAAATGTATCACGAGTCATGAATCACTATGACGCAGGATGAATGAAGGTCTATTAAAATCAATGAACTATATTTCTTAGTGTGTTGTCATAGTCACTGTATACCAGTGTGTAGTCACGCGTATTGCACAAATATCTTGTTACTGTTTGACCATCAACTTAAACATAATGGTGACTACACACTACTGCACTGCTGACAAATGTATTTATTTCAGACAATGAAAATCACTACAAAAACATAATATAGGGTGGGTCATATAACATGTATTGCACATTATATTTACTTTAGGGGCACAAGCAAGTGATACCAGCCGTAGGCATGAACCAGTATGGTTATTACAAGAGTGAGATAATGATTACAAGAGTGAGAGATTTTCTGATCCAAATGAGTATTATGCTGGACTTCATTGAGAGTGGGCTTTTCGTGCTAATGAATCACAGTCATTATGCACAGATTTGAGAGAACTTGGTATACCGGTGCCACATAGACTTCACTTACCATGCCCCGAAAGAATAGAGTCAACTATGAAGCATCAGTTAAACGTATACAAAAGGAGAATAATAGGATGATGCTCCGCAAGTGCCTNGGTATACCGGTGCCACATAGACTTCACTTACCATGCCCCGAAAGAATAGAGTCAACTATGACGCATCAGTTAAACGTATACAAAAGGAGAATAATAGGATGATGCTCCGCAAGTGCCGATATTATATGCTTCAAATAGCATCTAACATGGTCACAACTGCATTTGGTAAGGAGTTAACAACTACTAAGCGATCTAAGGTATTGTCTAATGAACAATACCTATCAAATGAGTATATGTCTGATGAAAATTAAAAATTTTAATTAATTTTCACCTTATTAAACATATAACGTTTATGTCTATGTCCTATTTACTTTAATCATCATTATTGCTTTATAAGTTTATTCAGTGCATTGTCATATGTTAACTTTTTCATTGTCACATATTGTAATTGTCAATGTATGCAGTGTGCTGTCACTTTAATCAATCTATGCAGTGTGTANTATAACGTTTATGTCTATGTCCTATTTACTTTAATCATCATTATTGCTTTATAAGTTTATTTAGTGCATTGTCGTATGTTAACTTTTTCATTGTCACATATTGTAATTGTCAATGTATGCAGTGTGCTGTCATTTTAATCAATCTATGCAGTGTGTAGTCAATCTATGCAGTGTGTTGTCAATTTAATCAATTTATACAGTGTGTTGTCATATCCAAACTTTTTTATTGTCATTTTTCATCACTGGCAAATCAGTTCCAAACTATGTCAAACCGAGCATATATATACTACCTTTCACACTTGTGTAAATACACCATCATCAAACAAAATGGATAGGAGCACATCACATGCAAGTTCTTCTTCACGCAATCACCAAANGTCAATCTATGCAGTGTGTTGTCAATTTAATCAATTTATACAGTGTGTTGTCATATCCAAACTTTTTTATTGTCATTTTTCATCACTGGCAAATCAGTTCCAAACTATGTCAAACTGAGCATATATATACTACCTTTCACACTTGTGTAAATACACCATCATCAAACAAAATGTATAGGAGCACATCACATGCAAGTTCTTCTTCACGCAATCACCAAAATAGTTCATCTTCGGGTAACAAACGTGAATGCTCAACAGACAGCTCAACATCGATGAACAAAGTTCCTTCTATCGAATCATATACCGACTCCAGTGGTGTAACATGGTATGGACGAAAGCGTGCATTCCGCAATGAGCCCATCGACCCTTATCACCCATTCGGACAAGCTGGACATGTAATCGTTGGGCCTGCAACTGATTATCCACCTCCAGGTGCTCATATCAAATCCACACCAATATGACAACAATTATATGACAAACGTTGTGACCATGAAGTATTTTGTCGTTGGTATGGAATTGCAGTACCAAAGGCACATTCGGCTGATACTTACAATTCACATAATTCAACACAATCATGACAAGGTCATTTCAAGACTTGAACGTGAAAATGATCAAATGCAACATCGTCTTGATCGTTTCTACGCACTCAATTATGCTAAAATAGAGCATTTTGATCATGAATATGCCAAAATTAAAATTTTAGAGGATCTGTTACTTGTTTTTGATCCTGAACTTTCTGATTTCTCTGATTTGAACGATGATGCATCTGACACTTTTATCCCAACATGTTTATGTGTACTCGATAATCCTTTATGTTGTTTTGAATATCAACCACGTTGTTGACATCTTATTTTTACATTTATACGTTCTGAATAACTTATATTTTTTCAGAACGTATACTTCTAGAGGAGAAATTGTTGGGTGTAACGCTTACAGTTTATATGGGACCTTAAATTTAATTATATGTATATGTTTTTAATTTTTAAAGTTTGATATGCTAAAAAATATAAGTATTTTTTAATTATCAAAATTTTTTTAATGAATGTAATTCAATTTTTAATTAAATAAAAATAAACTTATCCTCTCAAAAAGAGAGGGAGTAAATTTTTTTTAGGTATTATTGTTAGGGAGAAAAATGTCAATAGGAGAAAAATGTCAATAGGACAAAAGAAATTTATGTATTTTTACATTATCAAAATTTATTTATTAAATGTAATTAAATTTTTAAATAAATAACATAAACGAAATTTATGTATTTTTAAAATATAAAAATTAATTAATTAATTAATTAATTTTTTAAATAAACATTTAACATTTTACTCAGAAAAAAAAAAGACAAAACCTATCACTAAGGACTAAATTAAAACTCAAGATAAAATTTAAGGGCAGTTATGATAATTATCCAAACATAGATTAATTTATTCAAGCATTAAATATTTGGTGTGCTTGGTCTTATCGGTGGAGTTTGATATGCTAAAAAAAATATAAGTATTTTAAAATTATCAAAATTTATTTATTGAATGTATAAAAATTTAATTACTCATTCTCTCAAAAAAAGATGGAGCAAAATATTTTTAGGTATTATTAGGGAAAAAAATGTCAATAGGACACAAAGAAATTTATGTATTTTTAAATTATCAAAATTTATTTAAGAATTAATTTTTTTATTAAATAAACAATTAACATTATTTTATGTGCAGGTAGTACAACATAAAATATTTGAGTGATTTGATTATTATATATGTATTATTTTATTTATTATATATGTCCTTTACAAGTTGAGTGCATTTTATTAACATTATTTTATTTAATAAACATCACATTTGTTGCTGTGGCTTGATTTGCATTTGTTGGTGTGGCTTGATCTGGCGTGTGGGGCAACGGCGTCAAACCGAATGCCGTCTTTTATAAAGACGTTAAATCGAACAACGTCTTTATAAGAAACGTCAAAGCGAATGACGTTTTTAGTAGTGGGCTAAGTA